AAATATTTTTCAAAATCAATTACAATCGATTTCAGCAGTTCACACAGAACTTTCGGAATGAACAAAACAGATACCCTCTATCTCTTTAATATTTATTACAGCGTTCTACATTACATTTTCGCGTTCTTCCGCGTTCTTTTTTTCTCTCCCTTTAAATCTCTCCAATAAAATATACATATTCATACTTTTTAAATGACCTCGGAATAATCGGGTTTTAATCCTATCGTCTCCCTCTTCTTTTTTTATAAAGTGAACCGGCCCTTCGTGGCATAGCAAACTAATCGGGATAAATCGTTAATTAAGAGGGGGGAGGGGGTCTTTGGATTGAAGTCACTAATTATTCGCGCAGCGGTGCGTCGTGAGAAAAACGTGTTACGAATCGCAAGCGTGATTATTAGTTTCTCGAATAACCATCCCCCAGAGCTTACCAGGGCTGTTATTTCTTAAAGGACCTTTCTCAAAGGGGGATGATGCGTTTCATTATTACGACTAACTTAATTACACGTTCTCGAGCACGCAATGTGATGCCCGTAACGTTTCCCTTTCCCCAGACTCAACATGAGCTTCTGATAAACCTCCAGTTTGAAAAGTAATTAATCCCTGATTGGTTATACTCGTGAAAAGTTTGATGATCGAATAGCATAAAAGCGATAATAAATGCGTCCATTATTATTCTTTATCGTTGTGCCATAAACCAAAAATGTTTGACTTTAGTTAACGATTCTATACCGTTACGACGGTCAATTAAATCAACGCAATTTCTTTTCGTAATAATGAAAAGATATTACGAGCTTACCCATTACAATGAAAAGCTATAATCCATAATGGAAATTCGTTGTCGTAAATAAATGGATCGATTAAATAAAGAATTTATTCTCATGAAGGCTATTGCGAAACCGATAAACTCTATACAATTGAAACGCGCGCAAGCACGCAGGTGCAATGTTTATGGATTTAGGTCAGGAATCGTCTTCGACTAAAGCGAGCCAAAACCATAATCGTGCCAAGAAAAGTTCCTTCACGGCTGCAACTCGAGGAAAAGCAAAAGGAAGCAACAGGAAATGGCCGGCAGCGCGCAGCAAATTAATAAATTAAGACAGAAAGAAGCGCAAGCATCATCAATCAAGATATATTTTCTAAAGAGTTAATTGATATCTTTGTTTAAAGTAAAAAATAAAATAAAAAAAATATATAGAATATTATTTATATAAGTACTAGCCTGTAAATGATGAAAGAGTTTTAATAAACAGCAGCAGTTACCGTTAATGACATATTAAAAAAGAATAAAATAGTTGAACAAAAAGCAGACATTAATTACACTAGATGCTTACTTAAACTTAGTGTCTATAAATAAAAAATTTACCTTGATTTAATCATTTTTAATTTTAAGATACGCTTTAGATAACTGATATTTTTCTTTCTTCTCTCGCACACGACTGTTTCCTCACATTAAATCTTTCCCAGTTTTACAGTAAAACAATACTTAAAGAGATTAGCAGTTATAAAAGCAGTCATTATCATCGTTCCACAAAATCGAAAATCAAGGTAAAACGTTCCAAAATAATTGAACGTCGTTAAATCAATCAAGGCAAAATACAGTCGGGGGGGGGGGGGAACCGTTCGAAGAAACTGTCAAGCAAAACAGATCGTTATACGGGAGAAACGAAATCTCGGCTCGGCCACGGCGTTTTATGTCCTCGTTTCGCGAAAACCACTCGCCACTCGCTAACTGTACTCTACTAACTTTTTAACTGACAACTTATACCGACGACGAATATCAGCCACGATAGAACGCACTTTATCTCGCAAACCTGTTTCGCCGACCTGTCATCCGGCCTTTAACTCTTCGCTAACTTATTCCCGACGATCCTCTCCGGCCACGACACCGTCCTCCCGCTTGATACTTGGCGCTTTTCCACTTCCGCTTATATGCTCCTAATATACCGCGAGTACTATGCCCACGTGAGGTTCGTTAAACTGCGCGTTACAGCAACTTTTCAAGGAAAGCTCTAACCTCCGTTTCGGCTCCATTTTCCTCACGTTCTTCTTACGCAAACGATGACATATATTAAGTTTTGTTAACTCGGCACTCGGCACTATCTAATCTAATAAGGTAAAATTGCACAAATACGTGAACGAAGAATTATTAAGTTATATCGAATTTATCACCTCTCGTCTCTACTTCTCGTTTTCAATATTACAACATGCCTTTATTTATCTTTTACCCTCCGTTAGGTATGAAAGGAAAAACTGACTGAGGTTTTTTTCCCGTACGTAAAAATGTCAGCTATCGTTTAAAAGAAAAAACTTGATACTGCCAATATAGCAGTAACGGACGGATGCAACGGCAACGCCGCAAAAAGAATTTCTCAGGAACTCGAGTCTAACCTCATCGTGATCTTCCCGATGGAGGGCTAGATTCCTCGGAAAGGCGGGCACACTGCTGACGGTCAAGCCCTTGAGGTCCTTTAACTCCTTCAGTGCACCGAGCGCATTTAAGTTGTCCTTCAGGGATGCTAGATTGAAGTTAATTCCCTGCTCTTTGAAATTGAGATGCCTGTTGAGCACGGTTTTGCCTAACGCGCTCGCCAGCAAGCTGTTGTATAGCTCGTTGCGTAGGATAAACTTCCTTTCGGCACTGCTGTCGTCTTTGCTCGACACGTCGTTCGAGGAATCCGAGTCCACCTCGACGGAAGAGTTCGAGACGACACTCATCGTGGACATTTTAGGCGTTTCCCGTTTATACGCGGTTCGACGCGATGAAAAATATCTTTCTAGATCTCGCGTAACGCGCGAAAAGCATCCCTTCTCTTTGGTCTTCTTGCGAGTCTCGCTTTTCGTCTCTCTTTGTTTCAACGAAGGTGAGTTTCAAAATCGTAGGGACCTAGTAAAATACCTGTACATGTGTTCCTTGTATATGTATATAGGAATATATAATTAAATAAGTTCTTAAATTGTGTATATATATATATTTTTTTTATTTATTTGTTTATATATATATATATATTCCGTAATATCCTTCTATTTATTTTATTTAATTACTTCGTACTCGCGTTAAGAGGATAAAAACACCGCGCGGCGCGCGCGGTCTGTGAAATTGCTTCAAGAGCCCACGTGGCACATTAATGTACGGTTAAAAACTGCTTAAAGAGCTGCGAGGTCGGCTTCCGAAGTCGAGCGTGTTCATCCGTAGGTTCCATGCTGTCTCAAAAACAAAAGATAGATTTCCTTCCGCGCACCGTGGTTTTGTGCGCGGGGCAGGAAAACTGTGTGTACCTCGTCGTCTTCGTAGGCGCCTCGAGTCTCCTTTGTTTTTTTTTTTATTGCCTGTCGGCGTAATTCGACGCCATAAGACACAAGTACGTTGCTTATTTATTCCACCTTCTCCCTCTCGTCTCGGCAGAGAAGGCGCCCTTCGCTGTTGTACAATTAACCCCTAACGGTATTATTATACTATCACTATGATTGTTAGCGGACTAGTATCAAGGACTAAAGCGCTCCTTATCCTCCACTTGCTCTCCCGCTGCACCGCTTCGATCACACTCTCGTAATCTCAAACGCGGTCGTAATCAATACGGCCGAGAGGAGAGGTTTTTTCGTTTCCTTAATGTATCTAAATTTATATTATTAGTGCGCGCCGCGTAATCGGCTTCGTAATCGGCGCGAATTCGAAGGAAAAAGGACCGCGTTGCATTTAGGAACTTTTGCGCGCGCAGCTCATTACGCATGGCCACGGGCTTTCTAATTGGCTGGTTAATTAGCGCGGGAGGCTCCATTCTCGTCGTAGACACGAGGTTCCGACGTGCGTCATCTCGGTCTTCTCTTCTACCGTTTTCCTTCTCATCCTCAATCTCTTTCCGCCTCCCTTATTCGCCGCTCTAATTCTCTCTCCCTTAATTTTCTAATCTTTGGGCTAAAACACGTGAAAAATAGGAACTTTGGTTGATCGTCTGGGATCTCTCCCGTTTCCGTGACATTAACATCGATGCTGCCCCCTCTTCGTTAAGATTTGTCCCTCAATGAGAACATACAGCATCCTCCCCGAACTCGCCTTCCTCCACCTGGTCGGATCTTTCCGTCGCCAGGAAGAAGAGGAGGAAGAGGAAGCACTGAAAGGAGCAGAAACATCTTCCTCGGTGGCGCGAAGTGGCATCGAGTAACATCCCCTTAAGCCTCCGTTATTTCCGGCGGCGTCATCCTCGTGGCGTATTCGTGGAACTCGTTCAGGAGGCCGCACGGCCCCCCTCTCTTCATCATTGGCGTGAATGACGCGACTGTCGTCGAGCCGAGTGTACCCGATGGGCAACAACGGGCCCTCGCGCTCGGGCCCGATTCGACGGGCCCTACGGGGCCCCTTGTGAATAGCGGACGACGTTCGACTCGCTTCGCGTCGCTCGTTAGCGCATTGGTGGGGGTAAACGTTCGGTCAGTTGTGCTCGAGCCTTGGTAGAGCGCGGATAATTTCTTCTTCCACGTTGCACGTACGTGTTATCTTGCTATATTAGGCGTGCTTTATTAGCCGACGAGTGGCCTCGCGATGGCCGCGCGACGTACACTCGCCGGTAACCGTACGCTTCCTTCCGCTTTTGCGGAACCGCGCGCTGCCTCGAGAAGGGGGTCGGCCTCTCGAATCCCAGTTTCTTATGTGAGCGCGACCGCGCGACTGGTTGATGCAGTCCGCGGCGGAGCATAAGGAAGCGGAAGCTCGGCGCTCTCTTTCTCCGTCCTTCTCTCCCTTTCTATCCTTCCTACTCCTACCGCCGTCTCCTTCCTCCTCGGTCTCTCTTTCTCGCGCTTGAGGCCAAGGAAAGGCGCGCACGCTTCGCCGTGGCCGCCGGCGTCGTCGTCGTCGTCGTCGTCGTCGTTGTCGTCGTCATCGTCGTCGTCGTCGTAGTCGTCGTCGTCGTCGTCGTCGTCGTCGTCGTCGTCGTCGTCGTCGTCGTCGTCGTCGTCGTCGTCGTCGCCGTCGTCGTCGTAGTAGCCTTCGTCTTTTACTTCCTTTTCCTCTCTCTACCCTCCTGCCATCACACTCTCATGTACCCTCTCTGTCTCTCTTATCCTTCTTTGCCCTCTCTCTCCGTCAGTCTCGCGGACGCGCGGCGCCGCGGTAAGAAGTGGTAGAGGAAAGTAAGAAGGAGAAAGAAGTAGAAGGAATAAGAAAAAGAAAGAAAGTACGAGAGACAGAGAGAATCTCGAAGGTAGAGGCGGAGAGTGGAGTTGCGGGATCGTACGGGGGTAGGAGCGAGAAGGGGATAGAGAGACGTAGCCCGCGCGAAGAAACAGATAAATATAGATATTTTTCCTTCGGCCGGCCACCTGAGGAGGGGGTGCAAGTAAGAGGGTGATGGAGACGGACCGAAAGGTGGGAGTGAAGGCGGCAAGGAAGTAGAAGAGGGTGGGGGAGTGTGTTGCACGCTCGCTTCCCGCCCCCCAACCGAATTGGAAAAATGGAAATAATAAGAGTCGCCTCCTAGGGGGTTGCATGGCGCGCTGCACGAGAGTTTGGGGTCGGGAGCGGGGGCGTCGGGGTGGCAAGAGAGGTACAGCGGTGGAAGTAGGTGGATGGGGTGGCAGGAATTGTGCGCAGTGCAGCATGCGCTCTGACGACCAGAAAGCACACATCCAGGAATCGATGTGTGCGAGTGTCACGTGTGTTAGAAGCGAAGAGGGAGACGGGGGGGAGGGTAGAAATAGGGGTGGTTTGGAAGATCGTGGCAATGCCGTGTGTACACTCGCATTCGTGTACGTATTCGGCAAAGAATACTTTGACGAGTACGTCAAAAGCAACATGGCCACCACTAAGCGCAAACTTCCCCGCATAAATTAATCCACCCTCCCCGAGAGTAAGAATGCAAACGCGACAAACGGTACTTAATTGTATGCTAACTAGCAGAACTACTTTTTATAGAGATTATTTATTTCCGCAAGAAAAAGAATCTCTGAAAAGGATCTTTGAGTCTATCACCGTGTTGATCTCGACGATGATGATTCCAACAACTACTTTTTCTTATTATAAAACGCGATTACGAACGATCATGTATTATTAAGAAGAAAAGAAAAAAAGAATGATGATTCAATTCAGTTAATTCAATTTGAATGATGTAACGACGTAATAATCTATCAAAGAGAGATGTAATAAAAATTCAGTAAAACATCAGATAATACTCTCATCACTTTTAGTGGGTCTCGGGTTATACACGATGGGTACGATCGATCGACGTAAAAGATTCAAACCAGCCAGCCCAAAACATAGAATAATCGACGCCACAAATACACTTTAGTCTCGTTTTACGAGAACACTCGCAAAATAACGACGGGTGGGCCGCAGGCACAGGTAGTGACGCGCTTCTTTTCGAGTGGCATCAGCTCTTTGGGTTAACTCGCTATACGTGGAGAAGTGTCCGGAAGGAGGGAGAGAAAGAGCGAGAGAACGTGACTCCCCGACGCTCTTGGAGATTCATTCTCTTCTTTAACAGAGAGTATAATCGAAACGAAAGCACCGACAGCGGGAGCAGGCGGGGAAGAGAGCTCGACGTGCTTCTAATGCCTCTAACGGTGCATCCCTAATTACCATTATACCATTGGTATGCAGATAGCCTCGCACTATTGGAGAACCCTTTCTTCCTTCCGCCCTAAATAGCCCGATGAGGCAGCCGAGCGCCACCCTTTCCCCATTGCGGTATGCCATTCCGCGCACAATATTATTTGTGTTTTGGTTTTTCGGGGCGGAGCGGACCGAGAGAAGAGTTTCATAATCTGTGCCGCAGACGAGCACCCTGTGCTTGGAAAGCTCGCCTCTGTCTTCGATTTCTCATGCCTCCTCGACACCTTGTTCTCCGGAAAACGGTCGTTTCTTCCTTCATTCAAAGCTTGAAGAGTATTATCCGTTATTACGCTCGTCACGCATGCGAATGCATGTCCGCCACTTGCGTGAGAAGTCACCCTTTGAAGCACCCGAAGTGGCGCAACCCCTGCTCTCTCCCTGTGTCTTTCATACTGATTTTCTTATTGCTCACGAAGCAAAGTACGCTATTATCTGCAATATCATTGCAGTTAAGAAAATTGAACTTGTTGAAAGTATCATCGATTTGCTTAGTGAGACGTTACAACTGAATGATCTCGTTTTAAGTCTGTAACATCAGTTGAGATTACAGCGTTGAAGAGATTCGATACATTTCCAAAGGATACACGAACGTAGAGCGCGCTTTTTTTTCAGCAAAACACGTGTTCAATTAAAAATTCGAAAGGAAGGGAGATTTCTATTAGAACCGCTGCTATCGCGTTTACCTCGCTCGACGGACGCAGTGTGCATCGCGATAGACACGAGGGAACGTAGTTACGAGGTCACAAAGAAAGGGGCAACGAAAATTAAAGAAGCGCTAAGCTGGGCGCTAAACCGAAGAACCACTTGTTGAGCAGCTTGCGGTGGCAGCACGCTGGTTAGAGGAAGATCGGAGCGACTCGGAAGCGAGAGTAGAGAAGGGAAAGGGGTTGCGGATGCGACGGGCCGGCGAGGGGGTAGGGTGTACGGATATGCAGATGAGGGGCGGCCACCCCCGTGTAACTAACTTCTAACTTTCGCGTAACGGCCGGCGGCGGTGGCGGCCTTCCGCCAGTTTTACACCGACAGCCCTCGCGCGGCGACGAGTTTTCGCATCCCCTTCTTCCCGCGTCTCCCTCACCCTTACGGAATTAGATCCCCGAGCACCGGCCAATCTGAATCTCTCAATCCGTTAGGCTCTTCAGCGACGATAGCCGATGTCTGGCTTCGATTTCGAAAACGGAAACTTTCGAAAAATTCACAGATAAACTACGATTGCAGAATCCATTTTCCACGATTGCAGTGATCGCATGCATTTCCAACAAATCTCACAATATAAAAATATTA